TCCTTCCTCGAATCCCGGCGGTGGTCGCCGAAAGGGTTTATAAGGAGCGGTGGACCCCGACGGAAAGGCAGTTACCACTCGTCTTCCGAGCTCGTCCGGAGCCACCGGGAGTCGACAATGAAGGTTTTCGTGGTAAGTTGACTCTTGAGAGTCGCAGGGATCGTCGTAGTGCATCGTGTCTCCAGCCAGTGACTGAATTGCGCGAGCCTATAACTGTACCAGAGCAGGCCGCATGCACGCAGCAGTCCTGTGCATTTCTGCAGTTACAAGCAAATCGTGCATAGCTTTGAGCTTTGAAATATGCCGTTTCAGTAGCGTGTGGCGTTTACATTTCATAATCATGAACATGAAACTAGACAAATTCATTTCGTCTCTAGCTCTCTGGTTGAAAAAATTCATTTTGGAACCATCTTAGACGAGATCTACGTTAGATCAGATCTGACACGAGATGAAAATTGGAAGAAACTAGTTCCTACGAAGCACGAATTATTTTTGAAGCGTTTCTTCCCTAGGTCAGTTGTCAAACCGTAGGTAAATGTTTAGGGGTGAATACGTGTTTGATCCATTTGTCTGCTTAGTTGATGCGTCTAATTAGATATGTAAAGTATATAATACAAAAAAATTAAAATATGATGGTAGTTAGTTATTTACTGAACATCTATGTACTTCAAACGTTTCCTCTAGGCACACCTAGCATTCCAGTTGCGTGTGTCTTCTGCGTTTAGTCTTTCACTTCTTGGCGCAATTCCTAGTGTGCCATGAAAGTTGAAGTGTGACAGGAGTTGGTCTCCAAGTTAATGCTACGCATTCTCTTTGTCGGAGAACAAGAAACGAATAAAATTAACTCGGATCAGGTTGTATAAAATAGTTGAAGAAAATATTTCTCTGATGGAATTCTGATTAAGGTCATAGTCGTAAAGGCAATACCTAGACGTGTTTGTTTCCTTGGGTTAGTACTTGGCTACAGTACAAATGTGATATTTTAAGACGTAATTTTCAATTATATTTATTTTACTTATGTGGATTATTTCAGTATGTTTTAAAAACCTATTTCAGCATATTTTCGAAGATAAAAAATAACCGCTAAACATGTGTAGATAATTCAGTATTACGCAGATTTAAACTCACACACGGCTCCATAGGATTAAAAACCCCGACTCGCAGCTACAAAAGTTATTATTGAAAAATGTATCAGATTTGTAGATGTTTATAAAGAAACTCGAATGCAGATGAGCAGACTAGATTTATAATCCCAAATTATATTTTTAATTATTTGTTTCATTTGTTACGATGTATCTAAAATCCTTAACTTCAATTAACACAACATATTCGTCTCTTCCCAGGTTATAGTTTTCTATCACTTTATAATTCCATTTAGAAATATGAACACGTACATATGGATTGATAACCATGATCAAATGCTCAAATATTCAAATGACTTATATGTATGAAAAGCATTATGCTAAGCAAACCTCGTCTGCCTGTCACAGGTAACCGCCTTGCTGGCCTTGTCAGTTCACGCCCGCCCTGAAGCGGGCTACTCGTACAGCCCTCCGTCCTCGTCGTACGGAGCACCCTCAGGAGGTGGTGGAGGCGGCGGCTTCGGAGGTGGCCACGGAGGAGGCTTCGGAGGCGGTGGTGGCCATGGAGGCGGCTTCGGAGGAGGCGGCGGTGGCGGCTTCGGAGGAGGCCACGGAGGTGGATTCGGAGGAGGCCTGGGCGGCGGCGGAGGCCTAGGCGGCGGCGGAGGCTTCGGCGGCGGCGGTGGTTTCGGCGGCGGCGGCGGCTTCGGAGGCGGCGGTGGTTTCGGAGGCGGCGGTGGCTTCGGAGGCGGCGGAGGTTTCGGAGGCGGCGGTGGTTTCGGAGGCGGCGGCGGTGGCGGCGGCGGAGGCGGTGTGCAGATCCACAAACACATCTACGTCCATGTTCCACCTCCAGAACCCGAATTCGTCCGACCAGCACGCCCGATCCCCGCGCCCTCTGCTCCTCAAAAGCACTATAAGATCATTTTCATCAAGGCCCCAACTCCACCCACTCCGACCGCTCCCATCATTCCTCAAATCCCACAAGACGAGCAGAAGACTCTCATCTACGTTTTGGTCAAGAAGCCCGAAGAAGCGCCAGAAATCTCCATCCCAACACCAGCGCCCACAGCGCCATCCAAACCCGAAGTCTACTTCATCCGCTACAAGACCCAGAAAGAAGCTGGAGGCGGTGGCGGTATCGGAGGCGGCATTGGTGGAGGCATCGGAGGAGGCATCGGCGGTGGACTCGGCGGCGGACTCGGCGGTGGAATCGGTGGCGGCCTTGGAGGCGGCATCGGCGGAGGCATCGGCGGAGGCATCGGAGGAGGCATCGGCGGGGGCATCGGCGGTGGCCACGGTGGCGGTGGCGGCGGCGGTCACGGCGGTGGCCACGGTGGAGGCATCAGCGGACCCTCGGGTCCGTCCTCCAGCTACGGCGCCCCTCCATCCTCCAGCGGAGGCCCGTACTAATGCGTCCCGCCATCGACCCGGCCGGGCGTTAGCCAGTACCTGCGCGAGCGCGCGTCTTCGGAGTCTCAGCCGCCGCCTACAACTCCTGATAGCCGAAGGCGCCACCCCGACGGATCGTGGCTGCATCGCGCTCCACTCCATCTTACGTTTACCGGGGTTTCTTCCCTACAACATCTCAAGTGTTGTATACTATAGTTCAGTCTCGAATGGTAATATTCTCTGATTCTATTGTATTGAAATGAAACTCGCAAGTTTTTCCGGTGCTACTGCATCATCGATTATGTATGACGAGGATACTCTTGTACTTAATCAGTCAAACCCAAGACTTTATAATGTATAAAGAGTTGTATTGTTTTCTGTGCAGAGTATTATTTTTATTTTTGTACGTCGTAATATATTTTGTAGTTCTAGATTTTTGCAAGAAAATGGTGACAATAAATGCATTTTTATAAGAAAATAAAATGTAATGATTATGAATGAACTCAACTCCCCTTCCTGCCTCATGAATCCTTTAAAATATTTTGGCGAGAACTATACAGATTAATAGAAAGCTAATTTTCTTTTTACATTCTCTAATTTTTTTGTGTCAACAAAATAAAAAAGATGACATTGTACTTGTAGCATAGATATGAAGCTTTTTTCTAATTAAAATAGAAAATAGATATCAATATGTCACTTTTTCTACGTAAGCCCTATCTTCAATGTTAAACTGAAATTAGAAATCATAAATGTTCAAAAGAATTTGTAATTGCACGGGCCTAAAAATGTTTAATTGGTTTTATAGAAATGTAACATGATTAACGAGATGCCTGTGATGTACTAGAAAACTCCAAGTTATTCGAATGCTGCCTGTAAAATACATTTGCTCTTCCATAGAAACACTTAATTCTGATTTAATAATGTAAAGTGTGTTTAGGCCTGCTAAACGGGATGGCTTTAAGAATTCAAAGTCACATTTCTGCACAGAGGCAAAATCTATTACAAAACTACATTCCAGTAAATAGTTTTTGTCGAGTCAGAGATGTACAAGTGGTGCGAAAAAGTAGAAACGATTGAAGAAATTTCCAATAACGAGAATACTTTTAAAAGTTGTATCTGAATATTATTTTTATAGAAAATAAATTAAACAACTCTATATTTTTATATAAATAAGATTAATAAAAATAAACTAGTATATATATATATATATATATATATATATATATATATATATATATACACACTTTTTTAATTCGAAAACTTACGCATATGATGTAACTAATAAGCCTGTCTCTATAACTAGTATAGTGATACAAGTTAGTTTTAGAGCAAGTTCGCCGCATTGCCATCTGTTGGACACAGGTAAAAAGCAGAGAACGTACAGCGAATCCCGTTTTCTCTTACAAAAGGATGCGTTGACTTTCCTCTCATTGCATTGACCAATTTACAATACAACTTGTTTAAATACTTCTACGAGATCGAAATAACTCAAATATCAAACTGACAGTAGTTATAACTACATTATCACTAATAGATCAAAGTGTCACGTTCCTCTGACGAATTCGAACGAGTTACATTAAAGAAGATACTGTAAAGCATATATCCTAGAATAACGCAGATAGACACGCTTAGGATATGAATATAAACTTAAAAATGTGTGATTTAAAACGAAACCAAGTATTAACAATCGTAAGAAGAAGGAAACGAGAAGTGAAAGGACAAGTTCAACCTCTCGTCGCAATGCGTAGAGCTTCCTAGTACTTTACAGATGTATAAAAAAACACAGACCATTAGAACTAACACGTATGAGTAACATGCTCACAAGTTCGTTAACCACTTTCCTTCGGTTCTAGAAACGAAAAGAAAAGGGAAAGTTTACGTCACAGCGTTTATTTGCTTACGATTTCGCAGTGGGCCGTTTCTGAACAATAACAAAATCACGCGATCGTTATCATCGTCTGAACACAATTAATTGCCGTGTGAACGGCGTTAATTATGTAAACGTGAATACTCCGCAGTGGTTAAGACACTTTTTGTTCATTGTCACCCACGTGAGGGAAAGTGGTGGGCAGGAACCGGTTTCAGGCGCGCATCCTTCCGGCGGCATTTCTCCGTCGCTGCTCACGAGGCGCTCACGAAAGAGGCCGACCGATTCTTCGATGTCGTTTTGTGTACTTACTAGTTTTCTCCGCTTGAATGCCACAGTAGCCATTAGAAAAGGTGTGGATTAAGTCATTGAATGCACGTAGACCTTTCCATTCTTATGACGCATTTCACTAAGAACCAGTCCTAATTCCTTGTCGAATAGGTTCACACATTCCACGCTGCTGCGATAGTTGGAAATATGACAGACTAATATTCCCGAAAATACAATTCACTCTTTGATCTTGAATGAACATTGTTATCTCCTTAGAATGTAAGGTTGATGATCAAAAGAATATTTATATGGAAAATACTTTTTTAATTTAAATATATTTAGTGTTAGGTACTATAACATTGATGTCAAGTATTTGTTCATACTTATTCCTTTAAAAATTTACGAAATAATTGAATTCTTACACGAGTTTTTTTATATAAAAATGAAGTTTATCCAAGGTAAACATTTTGAAACCATCGTGAAATTTTAATATTCTGATCTAAGTATTTTCATTACGTTTAACCGACGCAATAACAACAATTCGTGATCAAATCAGTAAATCATGTGGCAACAAAATACAATTTGCACTGTCCTACATAACGAACTTAGAAACAAAACACCTTATTTTATAGTATGTTGAATACAATGTATTCTGAGTTATAGATTACTAATGTTTGGATTCAAGTGGCAAATTTCTGATCCTAACTTGATAGGTAGGTCTAATTCAGCCACTGTATGAAGGAGATTTGTAGAGGCCGGCTGCCCAGAACAGTAATTGTCCGTGGTTATTTCGATCAATACCAGGTGAATACCGGAGCAGGCACATAGACGGAACAAGCTACGGACCGCGCTTGACCTTTCCTCCTCCTGTATCCAGAGGTAAGAGAAACGTGTTTATCAAGTTTTAATTTTTCTCAGCTTCTATTGAATGTATGAGGCTTAAAGAAATGGCGGAGACGGGGAAAATAGTTGAATGTGAAGTTATTTTTGTAAAACAATTTCGCAGCTAAATTCAAATAGCCAATATAAATAAATTCTTGAAATTGATTTTCGGCGTGATAACTTTTTCCCCTAGAATGTGTCTTACAACATTCTATAACATATATTTTTTCAGATTTTTAAACAATGTGAACGATAGTGAAAAACAATTAAAACCGTTTATCAGGTTAAAAATTTAAACTTCGCGCCAAAATGTGCTATGAAAAAACGTCATTACCAACATTTAAACACAGATTCAATGACCACATATGAACTCAACAATCGTGTTACATCGATTATATACCAAACTCAATCGGAATATACAAAGTGGAAAGAGATTGGTGGGCTCTTGCGCATCCGACTTCAGCCAATGAGCAACAAGTACCAGTTTGCGTCATAATATTAGCGGGAATTTTAAATGCCCAAATTTACAGTATTGAAACAGAAACAAATAAGCATTTTTTTAAATATTGCATCTTTTATTTCAATCACATCGTGTTAGTTTTGGTTGGTCACCATTGAAAATTGTCATTTTATGCCACTTTCAAAATGTTTCTAAACACTTCTTGCTCTCCATGCAACATGGCGGCCTACGTCTGGTCTCGCTTTTCAAACGAAGTGTCCATGTTGTGGCCATGTACGTGCTCACGACGAAACCAGTGCTGCGCAGAACGAGCAGAAAATCGATGCAACGGAGGAGCCTGTCCATTACCATCCACCGTGGGAATGTCGAGAGTGAAACAAAATTATTGTGAACGTGGGAATGGAAGTGGCACCCTGGGGTGCTGCTCACACATAGCTGCTATTATTTAATTTTTGACATACGTTCATTCCCGTTACCAATTGTTAAACCGTCGGAAATTTTGAGTATACTGTTTATAAACGAACGCGTGTTCCCAATTATTAAAGGAGACAGTGACAGTGATTAATTGTCTAATTGTTAATAATTAATAAATCTACTACTGGTATATTTATTTATATTACAAACATGAATGTTTATTGTACCTAAAACCGATTAATTTGATTTATATAAAAACAATACATAAATGTATAATCAAAAAGGTGTTTGATGATTTTATTTCAATAACATACTTTCCACATAAAAAATATTTGTCAGCAAAAAGTCGTAAATCATGCCGGTTAGTTTTCAATAATTTAAATATAAATTGTTCAAACATTGGTAATTTTTCTCAATCACATATTTGCAAAATTTTTGAAAATGAAAGATAAATTTTTTAACTGATAAAATTGGATTTAATTGATTTCACTATCGTCCACATTGTTTAAAAATCTGAAGAAAAAAAGATGTAGAATGTTATAAAAAACATTCTTCGGGAGAAACTGAGACAGAACTCTAACGTTATCGCGTCGAAAATCAATTTCAGAAAGGGTGTAGCATGATAGGGGGGGCAAAGTGCCACAAGCTTAATTCTATTTTGAATAGGGGGCATGTTTAGTGTTATTTTAAATTGTTGTATGGCGGAGAGTATTCTACGTTGGCGATTCTACGTTGGCGACGTTGGGCCATCAAGATGAGCGTGTTACAATGTATATGAATAGGCTCAATTTTAATAACATTTTTAATTTTTTCACAATAAAACAGGTCACAAAACATATAAATATTTTTTCATTTTTTTTATTTTTGAAAATTTGAATTTGGCGCCAAAAATAATCCGCAATATTTTTATGTGGTAAAATTTCATGATTTTCGTCCTGAGAAGTATTTTTCCGTAGAAAAGTGATTATTATGAATGATGTACGTGTAAATGACGAAGAAAAGAGTTATTAATTTATTTCAAGACCCAAACTCGCGATCCTTTGCTCCGTGATCGCTACGGCACAACTGCCTCAGAGATCTCGGCCTCCGAAACGGCTAGTGTTCTTTTGTTTGTTCGTAAATGTTTCATTCTTCTCGGATCCGTGCAGTTTGAGTCCACTGAGCACCTACTTTCTTCATTTCGTCTGCCCATCTTGTTCTAGATCTTCCTGCCTGTCCTTTGCCGATCCTCGGCTCCCAGGCCGTTGTAATGTGAGTCCAGCGGTCACGCCTCATCTTTACCGGATGCCCTGTCCATCTCCATTTCAGTATTTGGACACAGTGTACTGCATCTTTTACTTCCGTTATCTTC